CCACACCAGAACGGCACAGTTGAGAGATCGTGGTTAACTTTATTTAACATGGCTAGGTGTCTATTGCTAGAGGCGGAACTAGCAAAATCTATATAGACATATGCCGTCATGGCATCTGCTTATATTAGGAATCGTTGTTTTACTTCGAGTTTTAACAAAACTCCGTTCGAAGTGTTTAGAGGCTCAAAACCAGACTTGAGCAAAATGCACGTTTTTGGTTGTGTTTGTTATGGTTATTCACAAAATTCCAAAAAGTTAGACCCTAGAAGGAAAGAAGGTATTTTCGTAGGGTATGATAAAAATAGTCTAGCATATCTACTATACTACCTTGACATTAACAAGGTAGAGCGTGTAAGATGCGTTAAGTTCTTCAGGGAGTGTAGCAGGGAACTGCCAGAACTAGATGATGAAGAACTTGCACGTCAGATAGCAAAATTGAATGAAAGAAACCCCAAAACAACTAACGAAGACATTAGTGCTCCAGAGACATCTAGAGAATCAAGATACCCCACTAGGATAAGAAGTAAGAGTAAATATCTTGAACAGTATGTGACAGAAGAAGTTTCAGGGGAGGATACTGTCTCATATACCGTAGATTATTGCTATAGAGTATCCAACATCCCAACAACATATTCCCAAGCAATAAGCTCCAATGAAAATGCAAAATGGCAAAAAGCCATGAATGAGGAAATTAAAGCGTTAATAGACAATGATACGTTTAAACTTGTTCCACCCCCAACAAATAGAGACATAGTGGAGGAAAATGGGTATACACCGTAAGAGTAGGGTAACATGAAGAAGAGACACATAAAGCCCGTTATGTAGCAAAACGATACTCGCAGACTCCCGGTATTGACTACAACGAAACCTTTTCGCCAACTGCACGCATGTGTTCTATCCGTGTATTGCTTCAACACGCTGTTCAAAACAACATGTTATTGCATCAGATGGATGTAAAAACAGCTTATCTTAACGCCCCAATGGACCGCGAAATTTATATGCAGTAACCTGAAGGATATGAGGAAATAGATAAAAAAGGTGAAAATGTTGATTTTTTAGCCTTGCCGTACCAATGATATTTGAAAAGACTAGTGCAATTAATTGTTGGTGATAATGGAAGAATAGTCTGTATTTTGAAATGATAAATTATCCAATTATCTATGAAAGGTGAAATTAAAAATCAATATACCTTAACAAATTTAGAAAGATTAAAGGAGACGCAACCAACTACATCATGTCTTTGCTTTTTCTTGATAATAAAGAAATTGGAATGTTCAATAAATGCTTGATTTTAATCACCTGCTGTTTTTATTGTAAAATATTGAGTTCTGTTCATAACAGCGAGACGATAAAATGAGATGGGCAAATTTTATATTTTAGCTATGACTTATGAGAATACATGAAGAAGGGATGATTTATAAATTTAACAACAAATTATGTTTCAGTTAAATTTGATAAACCTTATACACAGTTTACATATATTTATTTGAATTATTGAAATGCTCTGGAAAACTAAACTATTAACAAACGCAAAGTTGAGGCAGCGAGGCAAAATATATAATACCATTTTTACCAATAAGATAGCTCGAAAAAATTAAGATTATAAACCACAACTTTTCTTATAATTATTTTTGACGACTGATACTAGGTAAGACGAATAATTTTCTCACATCTCAGTAATCAGAGATACTTCAAAACTGATAGCGTTTGGACTTGACAGTTCATCATGCAAAGTCTTGTCATTTTGTGAACTTTTGACGCAAACAAATATTTTAAATAGTCTATCTTACCACAAGTTGAACAATTATAGACCAGAAAAAATCACGTGTATTATCACGTGAAGATGTGAGCTTTTTACTCTAATTAGGCGCAATTTCTAAAGACATACCTAGCAAAACGTTTTTATGTCATCATCTGTGTTAGGAATAAAATAAATAGATAGATGACTATTTGAATGCGGAAAAAATTCTTCTTGATAAAAGCAATGTTAGTTAAAATTAAAATTTTTGCACATAATGATATGCATAACTAAAAGTCTGTGACGTGTCATAATTTTGATTCATCTTGTTAATTATTTAGCTTTGCCGTACCAATGATATTTGAAAAGACTATTGAAATTAATTGTTGGTGACAATGCAAGAAAGGTCAGTATTTTGAAATGATAAATTATCCAATGTATTATTGGGAAAATCCCACCAAAATCAACAGATGTATCAATATAAAACATATGAAGTGCGAATTCCACCACGAAAATGACATTCAGGTTTTTTTTGAAAAATATAACAAAATTCTAGACATAAGAACAAACAGTGACAGAATGATAGGTGAACTTTATAATCAACATACCTTAACAAATTTAGAAAGATTAAGGGAGACGCAACCATTCACATGATGTGTTTGCTTCTGCTTGATAATAAAGAAATTGGAATGCTCAATAAATATGGGGCGCGAAGTGTTTCTTTATTATTTACGGAATTTTTAATGTTTAATTTCATTATTTATTAAATAACCAAACGTAATAGGTTGGTTATTTCAAATAATCAATTGACAAAATTTGGTTATTTAATAAATAACCATTTTTATTTCGGCGCCGATTTGGTTATATCAAATAACCAATTTTACGCTAATTGGTATTTAATAAATAACCATTTTTAATTCGGTAATCAAATTGGTTATATCAAATAACCAATTGTACGCTACTTGGTTATTTATTAAATAACCATTTTTAGTTCGGTACCGATTTGGTTATATCAAATAACCAAATAATTTTGTTACACTTGGCACACTTGAGATGACGTAACGTTCGTGTTCTACTTACCCTCCCCCCTGAGGAAAGTTCTGAAACATGGCTTCCGGTTTAATATTATACACTGATTTAAGCAGAAAGCGCGCAAAACAAGGAATGGCGGATAATAGAAATGATATTTCGAGAAGGCTGACAGAAGCGATAGGAAGGGTAAGCTCATCTGTGAAATTTGTTTCAAATCAACAAAGACAGACTACTGTTGGATTGATATAAACTAAATGCGAAATAACTCGCTCATTTACCTCTCTTGTACCCAAAGTTTGCGTGATTACCCTTCCTATCGCTTCTGTCAGCCTTCTCGAAATATCATTTCTATTATCCGCCATGCCTTGTTTTGCGCGCTTTCTGCTCAAATCAGTGTATAATATTAAACCGAAAGCCATGTTTCATAACTTTCCACAGCGGGGGAGGGTAAGTAGAACACGAACGTTACGTCATCTCAAGTGTGCCAAGTGTAACAAAATTATTTGGTTATTTGATATAACCAAATCGGTACCGAACTAAAAATGGTTATTTAATAAATAACCAAGTAGCGTAGAATTGGTTATTTGATATAACCAAGTCGGCGCCGAAATAAAAATGGTTATTTATTAAATAACCAAATTTTGTCAATTGATTATTTGATATAACCAAACTTATGCTAGTCCAAAAAATGGTTATTTGAAATAACCAACCTATTACGTTTGGTTATTTAATAAATAATGAAATTAAACATTAAAAATTCCGTAAATAATAAAGAAACACTTCGCGCCCCATAAATAAATGCTTGATTTTAATCACCTGCTGTTTTTATTGTAAAATATTGAACTCTGTTCATAACAGCGAGACGATAAAATGAGATGGGCAAATTTTATATTTTAGCTCTGACTGATGAGAATACACGAAGAAGGGATGATTTATAAATTTTACAACAATGTATGTTTCAGCTCAATTTGATAAACCTTATACACAGTTTACATATATTTATTTGAATTAATGAAATGCTCTGGAAAACTAAACTATTAACAAACGCAAAGTTGAGGCAGCGAGGGCAAAATATATAATACCATTTTTACCAATAAGATAGCTAAAAAAAATTAAGATTATAAACAACAACTTTTCCAATAATTATTTTTGACGAATTATACTAGATAAGACGGTTAATTCTCTCACATCTCAGTAATCAGAGATACTTCAAAACTGATAGCGTTTGGACTTGACAGTTCGTCATGCAAAGTTTTGTCATTTTGTGAAATTATGACGAAAACAAATATTTTAAATAGTCTATCTTACAACAAGTTGAACAATTATAGACCAGAATAAAATCACGTGTACTATCACGTGAAGATGTGAGCTTTTTACTCCAATTAGGCGCAATTTCTATAGACATGCCAAGCAAAACGTTTTTATGTCATCATCTGTGTTAGGAATAAAATAAATAGATAGATGACTATTTGAATGAGGAAAAATTCTTCTTGATAAAAGCAATGTTAGATAAAATTAAAATTATTGCACATAATGTATGCATAACTATAGTTCTGTGACGTGTCATAATTTTGATTCATCTTGTTAATTATTTAGCCTTGCCGTACCAATGTTATTTGAAAAGACTATTGAAATTAATTGTTGGTGACAATGCAAGAAAGGTCAGTATTTTGAAATGATAAATTATCCAATGTGTTATTGGGAAAATCCAACCAAAATCAACAGACGTAGCAATATAAAACATATGAAGTGTGAATTCCACCACGAAAATGACATTCAGGTTTTTTATGACAAATATAACAAAATTCTAGACATAAGAACAAACTATGGCACTATGATAGGTGAACTTTATAATCAACATACCTTAACAAGTTTAGAAACATTAAGGGAGACGCAACCATCTACATGATATCTTTGCTTCTGCTTGATAATAAAGAAATTGGAATGCTCAATAAATGCTTGATTTTAATCACCTGCTGTTTTTATTGTAAAATATTGAATTCTGTTCATAACAGCGAGACGATAAAATGAGAAGAGCAAATTTTATGTTTTTGCTATAATTGAAATATATACGACAGGGATTAATTTAGAAATTTTATTGCAAATTCAAATTCAGTTCAACTCAATCAACTCATAAATGTTGTACACATTTAACTATTATTAATTTTCAGTATTGACATGGCTGTACGGGACCAAAACATCAGGATGCGGACACTATTTTGCTCGACGAAAGCGGGAATCCTTTACATGCAATGTCGTAGTTAGACATGAAGAAAGACATGAACTTCTGGGGAGCATATTTTCTAACGCCAAACGTGTGAGCCTTTCTAGCGAGGTCTATAAAGTCATGCTCACCCTTGGAAAATTTCTAAATCCCATCTAATCCCAAAAAGGTGATTACGATGATTTGGTATAAGGGTTTGATTATAAAATCTTGGATTGGCTAATCTATAATCTAAAACAAATATGGCGGATTCAACTCTCGTCTTTCGTCTTTCAAAAATTTTAATTGACGATATATTTTCTTACATGGAACAACAGAATGTTTTCTGTTAGGATTGTAGATGCAGATTTTTACGTGGGAAAACCTATAGATGGCTTAGACATTTTGTTTTCTAAATTTCATGAGGCGAATGTTAACCGTGTTCCTGTTTTGAGGATATTTGGCTCAACTCCTGGTGGACAGAAAACTTGTGTTCATATTCATCAAGTATTTCCTTACTTATACATACCTTACGATGGAACTAAACCCACAGATAAATATCTGAAACAATTTACGACAAGTGTAGACTTTGCTGTTCAAGTTGCGTTTGGTAGAACATCATCTTCTATGAAATATGTTCATAAAACTGAAATTGTTAAGAAAATGTAAGTTATTTTCCTTGTTTTCTCCTCATGTTGACAAAGCTTACTATTATTAAATCTTTTTTACTCTCTTCTTTACATCACAATACAAAATCTTCCATTTTCGACCCAATAACGTTTCAATATTATTCACCCAAAATGATTTTATTTTTTAGACCATTTTATGGTTATCATGAGAACGAAGAAGAGTTTATTAAGATGGAGTTGTACAATCCAAGAATAATTCCCAAGTAAGATATATTTTTCATGTTGTTCTAACATAAAACGACATCAAAATTTTTCATTTTTTTCAGACTTGTTGATCTTCTTCAGAATGGAGCTATATTGAACAAGTCATTTCAACCACACGAAGCTCATGTTCCTTATATTCTACAGGTAATTATTGTTTTTTATTATTAATGAGGAAAAAACACATCTTCGATTGTTATAACCCAGACTGGAGTGGTTAGTTTGTAAACTGTGCACCAGACAGGTGGCAAGGCCTGCAAAGTTTGTTGTTTATTTATTTCAAAATTTATCCCATTCATTGTTTATCAAAGTAATTGACCACAGCAACATTTGCATGTACGTAAAGGTGCCCATAATTGTGCATTAGATCTCAGATGTCCAATAAAAACATTCCATTATGGATTATAGCATTTCAATTTCATTTGCAAAACATTTTGTCAATAAAGTGAATGGTTTGAACACATTGTGGAAGTATAGCTGCATGTTTGTTGATGTTGATCATAAAGGATACTACAGTATTGAGAAGGACTGTTGGGGGTAGTCTTGATTGATGTTTTCACATCTAGATGAGATGATTACTGGTAACAATGTTAAAATGTCATTTAAACACTAATGCCACTGACCTTCTTTAGTCTTTTCCTACCTGGATGGTCAACTTCTATAGATTTTCACTAAGTTACATTATAAGAATTATATTGAAATATCGTTTATTTTAGTTTCTAATTGATTACAATCTTTATGGTATGAACTTACTTCATGTAAGAAAAGTTCATTTTAGAGGAATTTCTTCAAAAACAGGAAAGTTTCATTATTGATTTTTTCAGCATTCTATAAAAATCTAACACCACAAATGATTATTTACCATCAAATTGAATTTTATAGATAAAAATCTTTCATATAATAATAAATCAATTCCACTTCATGGTTCATCTCCAAATTCATTTCTCAATTTTCCTTCATCTCAACACTGGAATGAAGACACTATTCCTAGGTTTGTCTGATTCATATATTTTACACTTGAAGATTAATTGAAACCAAAAGGATTTGTGTAAATCCTTAATCCTAAATTTGACACATGTGTATGATTTATCCCAAGATTTAGAGTCAATGCTCAATCCAGATTACAGAATTTACATTTAAAAAATTAGTTTAACTTTGGAATGATTCTTTGTGATAACTATCTTTACAGTTGATATTTATCATTTTAATGTTTGTTATTTGTCATTATTTAGAAATTTATGCCTGGATCCTACTGTGAACAAAGTCAGTCGTTGTGAACTTGAAGTTGATGTAATTGCTGAAGACATCTTGAATCAAATAAATGTTGAAAGTAAAATTTACTTATCTTTATGTCTTCATTTTACTGTTTATACATCTTTAATGAGTTTATTATGTTTATGAAGGTTGTGTTGGTCATAATCCTGGTACAACTGCTATGTGGGAAGATGAAAGACAACGAAGACGAGATATTGGACTATCTTTACAAGTTGCTCTTCCTGTTTCACAAGGTAAGGTACAAAAAAATACATGTCACATCATTGTATAGCTCACAATACATTTCATGTATTTTATATTGTCATGGTATTTATGATTTATGAGGCTGAGACTTATATATCCCAAAATGCAGCTGTTTTCAAGTGCATAAAATTTCATGTTTTCTTAAGTTTAAACATTGTCATCGTTACATGAAGATGTGTACAACTGCTCCTTTATTAATTTTCTTTTACTTAACAGTGAACAATACGTAGGTAAAAATTCAACTTTTTTTGTCGTTAGATCGTATTCAGTGTGCGAATTAGTTAAGAAAAAACGATGTGCAATTTTTTTTGACAAAAGTGTTTCTTTAGAGGCATAATCAAATCGATATTACGTTAAATATTATATAGCGCTAATTGCTAAATTAATATTTTTAAACGTGAATAAATTCATATGATTTACGACAGTGTTTTTCGTTACAATCGCTGATCCAGTTACAAATGTATGAAAGAAATTTTTTGCGCATGTTATTCTCTCCTCTTTTTTGTGCAAAAGTGAAAAGACAATAACCGAATATACTTTTTCTTTCTGATTATTAACGGTAACATCCTTTATGTTTACTTACGATAAAAAACATATTTGTTCAAGGTTGCCAGTTTGGCTTAATAATTTGAGCCAAATTTCGCTTCTTTTTCTCACGTTAGGCTTATTTAAAATCAAAATTCCCTTTGGTTTATTTTTCAAATTTGGCTTATTTAAGTTTTTTTTGTCTTCTTTTAAGAATCAAAATCAAAATGTTTCCTGATTTTACTGAAAATACTCAAAATAGCTATGATGCCAAAAACAGTACGTAACGTTTTACAAAACAACGCAAATGCAAAAATTGACATTAATAATGTATTACACCCCTATTGTCATAAGCATATAAGCACCATGTATGTTGACTGTTGACAGACTTCCTAGTCTCAGTGACAACGTCTTTGAAACTTGATGACATAGTGTGAACATGGATTTTAATGTCGTGCAACGCACTCGTTTATAAAGTAAAGATCTGTAAAGATTAAGCTTGAAAACTTTTTTCAATTTATGTGGTGGTAATCAGTAAAGAAGTTTTTTGCATATCGTTTCAAAAAGTGATGTGTAATTGTTTTCATTTTAGCTAAAACGATGTGTAAATTGCACATTTCACACCGTTAATTCGCACACTGCCATGATTAGACATGGATATCAATGGTGATTGTGTACAGTTTCATTTGTGTTTAGTAAAATGTGTCTTATATGAAGTTTTTCAATCAATCTTTTTTATTTTATTTTTTATTGAGAAGGTAGTGATGATGAACATGATGAAGATATTGATGAAGATAAAGAATCAATATTAATGTCACAGCCATTTTGGAAAGATGATGAAGAGGAACATGATTCCCAAAGGTAAAAGTATCCATTTTTGTTTATAAAATAAAGACAGAAAAATGCGTGCGTTGATTTGTCTATAGTTGAGTTAACATTAGCAAACTTGGCATGAGCGAACCTATCTGAGCTCAATCAATTAAAATCAATCAAAGAGAATTATCAAATCAATCATGAATACATGTTACAGGAAAAATTAAAACATTTGTTTTTAATTTGTTTGTTTTGTATTATCGTTGTTTTATAAAAGAAGTAAAAGATGTTTTTTGTGTTTACACAGGCTTATGCAAACCTCGGAGACGTTTGTGAGAACTTTGGAGCAGGTGCAAGCCTTTGACTCTGGTCATGAATGATCGAGTTCTCTCAAAGTTCTCCTTGCTTTTCATAATCCTGTGCAAACACTGTAAACATCTTAAATGAAAAATAGTTAATCTTTTCTAAAGTTTTTAGTAGCTGTCCTCTTCACTTGCAGTTCGGAGGATGAAGAGGAAGTGGACTGGAAAGAACCTTTACGTATGCCTTAAGTGGATGGCACGCGTGTCTGGGTGTAAGATTTGGCTTTAATTATTTGCTTCAGGTAGCGTTCCATGTTCAATGGTAACAACATACATCATCTTAATGCAATTTAATTTGTTTAATTCCCACGCAGGCAGAAAGTTCTCTCTCGTCCTAAATGTACAGCAGCCGTTCGACAAACATCATTTAGTAAAGATGGAAGGTAAATTTTACATGTTACGTTTCATCTCACGGGAACAATTTCTTTGTTTACCCATGTAAAATTATTGTTTTTTGAACATTTTTCAAAGTCAAGGAAAGCATGTGAAAAGAACATAGATAACATTTTCATAATGATAAAATAACATGTTTTTCTCATTAAAACTTTCACTTTGCGAAGATATTTTACTATTTGTTTTCTTATGGCACATTTTTCATTTATCTACCAAGAGCCCATTTCCAACGCGAAATTGGAAGTGACCGTTTTCGTTCATTCGTCATTGAGAAAAAGTTTTTTGCGAGATTTTAGAGGTGATTTCACAGTATTTGCACCTTGTAAATTGTCAAGTTTCTTAGAGCAAAGTCCACTATGACTGGATGCTAAATAATTTGCACAGCGATTATTTAAATTTCGACAACCTTAGCGGTAGTCATTTCACTCTGAATTAAAACACGAATTTAAACATGTTAACGTTTCTTTAATTGACTTCATAACTAAAATTATTATTGTGATTTGCTCCTTAGGAGCATGTCACCTTTCATTAAGACAAGTAATCCTTTTTTGTTTGTTTCAAACATTGCATTTTACATGCGCCAATGCATTTAAAAAAAAGATAATGAGATAAAATTCCTTATTATCTTTTGTCTTAAATACATCGGCACATGTAAAATGCAATGTTTGAAACAGGCCTTAAAACGCATTGAAGGATTACTTTTGTCTTTGTGAAAGGTGACATGCTAAGGAGCCAATCATAATAATTTTAGTTATGACGTCAATTAAAGAAACGTTAACATGTTTAAATTCGTGTGTTTTACTTCAACAGAAAATTACTCACTTTAACGTTGTAGGAAGAAAGGTAAATTCTGTCTTTTTACTGACAAATACTGAAGTATGAGTTACATGGAATAATGAACTGGTCTTGGTGTAGACCTCGTAATTTGAAAGCTTTCACTGTAAAATGCTTTCATCACGATTATAAGCCTTTGATCGTACGAAACTTGTTACATCGTTCAAGATCAACTCACTAAAGCTATTCGTGCAATGAAGGTGAATGTTCTACCATTTGAATAGTTAAACATAAAACATATAACAATTTGCTCATTCTCAATATATCTGATTAAGAATTTAAAACTCAAACTAACGTCATATGCGGAGTTATTCATCATGAAATTTCATACATGTGTTTCATATTTTCTTATATTGTAGATCCCACAAGGATGGAGTTGTGAAAGTCCCTTTACCACATGTGTCATTCACTTCAATTACTCTTACTAGTTTGTCATTATTTATGTGTCATGGTGATTCATGGCCAAGAATGCTCATTTGTAGTTTAGATTCTTTGTTGATGTCAATTGTTGGTTCATATAATAATGATGATGGGCCCCATTGTTATATGAACCCACCTAAAGGTGGTCAATTGATACTCACAAAAGATCAACTTTGCACTAAGCATTGAGTAATGATATAACTAGGGTATTGAAGGGCGGTCCCTTCTCCTTCACTTGAAGTTACCATAACAGTGCATCGTGGAATGTTGTCTATCAAAATGGCGATTCATCATATCAGTAGCTTCTTTGTTGGTTGACGATGCTCGTTACTTCGTGTATGGAATGGTTTTGACATGTTGAATGGACATCGCATAACGGCATATGTACGTATGAACATTTACATTGAAGTGATTGCACTATAAAAATGGACTACATTCTACGAAGATGGAAAACAAGCGAGTGGAAAAACACGATCTATATCTTGTGGTTTGTAAGTTGAGTAGATATAAGTGTTAAAATTAACTTGTATGAGTAACTGCATGAGATAGTTAAAAAGGATCCTGATGGTCTATCTTTATAATTTGAAACTTAACCATGAAAAACACCCAACTTAAAAAAGTGTCAATAAAAGATGTCACTTGCTGTGAGAAAATAGCTGGCTTTCACTCGCTACTTTTTAGTAATTTTATTTAACGTTTATTAAGAAAATTGCAATGATGCAAGTAGGGTTCATTGAATTACTAAGATAAAAATTTTACAATTAATTTCAACGATACAACGTAAAAACTACGCGATGAAAAAAACGGAAGAGACCGACCAAGTCCCCTGGATCGAACTGACCAGGAGAACAAAAAAAATCAGGTATTAAAGTTTTATTCTTTTCAATATATTTAATTTCTGTTTTTGTTCCTTTATTATGCTGACATTTATAACTTGTTTTTTATAGAGTAGTTATGTCTGTTGGCCTTCTAACTGGACAATGAATGAACGACGAAGTTGGGCAAACATACCAAGAAACAAGCGTCGTTATTATAAGATGCACAATTTTCAAATTCGACCGTTAAAAATTTCCGTATAACTAAATGTTCACAATTGTTAAACTTTCTGAAAAAAACATACGAGTGAAAGCCAGCTATTAATTAACGAGGCAACAGAAAATTTCAATTGAATAAAGTCAAGCAGACATAAAAAATTATTTTGTGCAAGTAATAACGTCTCTTTAATCGTTTCATTTTTAATTGTTATGGGAGGTGAATGGTCAGGTTCCTACGTACTGAATAATTTTTATACATGATTTATATATGGCTGGTATTAGTTTTCGTTTTTCGTCTATTGATTACAATTTTTGTTAACACTCTGCGCTATTTCATTTTTGTGCTCTACAAAGTTTGCGTTTCTTTGTACGAACAAAAATATTTGCTGTGTCAATAGGGTAGTCAGCCCACATTTTATTGCTCCGTAAATTTAAATTTTTATACGACTGTATAAGACGCACGATCTGACTACGCTGCATGTTAAAGTAGATCATCGGGATCATTGAAAACAACAAAAATATAAAACATCATAAAACACTACAAAAATTTGAGGCAATTCTTGTAAATTTTTTATTTCTTTTATTGGAGGGTTTTTTACCGGATCCGCCAGTTTTCCCTCCCATTTCGTTTTGGTTTGGAAAAAAAACAGTGTCCACATTTGGGGCCAAGTGAAGCCATTTGTCATAACATTATTTATCGTAGTTCTCATGAATTTTCACGTTTCTTTTTCATTTCTTGGCTTTTGGGTACATCTCCCAAAACACTGCGTTTATTAAATACAATGGCATACATTTAAAAAAATTGGCACGCAATTCATACATGTTGGTAGCCTGCAATTATTTAGCTACTGAATGAAGTAGATTTAATCAACATAGTTAAAATAAAATTATATATTTAATATTATTTTACGTCAAACTTTTTCAAGATTTGAAAATGCCATTTAGTTTTATGATCAAGTAATTTTCTAATCCTGGAATCCAATGTTCTACACAGTAAAAATAGATTGGTCAAAATGACAAAAAAATTGGTCATTTGAATTCACCTGAGAAGAACAATTTTTACAGGTCAAAACAACCAATTCCTAAATTGGTCAAAAATACCAAAAACAAAAATGGTTAAATTTACCAATTTTATTTGTTTGTTTTTACCATTAAATAAGCATTTTTTTCAGGTGCATATCCATGACCATTTGACCAATATAGAGGATATTTTTAACTAAGCTAAAGAAAATCAATCACACAATTATAAATAGCACATTTTCTGTAAACACAGAATACTTAAAATCTCTACTACATGCCATTAATTAACACTACAAAAGTTTTCTACTTCATAGAAGAAATAAAATGATCGACAAAAGTTGGCAATTGAGCCTTACAATTGCATTTTGAATTTAAAAGCAAATGTTCTAAAAGAATAAATACATTTTTGCAATGTCCATTAACGCCTTTAGGATACTCAGCATTAAAAGTATAAAAAGAACTAAGTAAAATAATAACTGCATTGACAATATTTTCCATTTTCAGCTTTGCCACAATCATCCCCTCAGCCACCAACATTATTGAATGAATGTTTCTTAATGTTCCTGTTGATAGGAGTCTAGGAGACGAACTTTTGTTAATGATCTCTTGAACTTCCCCCAAGCTTTTACCCTTCAACAGAGATAAAATTATTTATCAATTTTTTCACACATTTATGCAGAAAATATTATTTGTGACAATATCAACTCTTACATCAACAATGTCCCAAAATAGCTTTTTGTTCATATCTCGATGGGTGCATTGGTCATCTAACACTTAAGGGAAATATGCCATTATACACCGGTTCTTGACCTCTAAAATAATCAACATAGCATAGAATGAATATATTACCATTATCACTCTCTAAAGCATTAACACTTCAGTATAAATAGGGATTTTAACTTATTGATTTTTACACCAACCTTTCTCATCTTACACTGGACAATCCTCCAGCTCTTCAAGGATACTGCTGACATTCTTTTGCTTTGTCTTTTTAATAACAGACAGCATTTTATATTTGTGCAAATTCCATTGTTCCTTCATGTCTTGCACAACATCACTTTTCTCCAAAATACATCCTAACTCTGCTTTCAGCTGGAAAAAATTAAACCAAAAAACTAATTATCTTTCTCTAAGTAATTGTGATTCAACAGACAGTTTTGCTACAGCATACATACTCATGGACAGCGGCAGATTAATAATTGGCAAAAAACTCATATTCATAAATTCATATGCTACATATAATCTGTTGAATTAAAATTGCTTGTAGTACTAGAATCTAGTAAAGTATACCATGCACATATGAATATTACCCTCTCATCAGGCTAACATGCCTGATACTTCAACCCATACCTAAACCATTTTATGTAGAAAACCTGTAAGGTTTCAATTTACCTTTTGAGTAACGTCATTTCAAATACACGTAAACTTCTTGTGAAGTTTTATTCGAGGAATCATCTGATAAATATCATGTGGTTCTAAATTGAAAAAATCCTCACCGTCGACTTGATTAGCTTTAAAAATATAAGAAGCAAAACGTCAATGAAATTACGTTATTGCTGTTGGTATTCTCTAAAAGCGCTCGACCAAATCTGCCTGCTAGCAAAACGTAAACAAGGCAAGTCATCTATAAATCTAATTTTGAATTATTTTCTACACTAGATTTATGCACGAGACAACAACCCTCACACATGCGACCTACATTTCAGGATGAGACAATACCTTTAAAATCTTCGACAATTTCATCCAATTTGTTGTTTTCAAAAAGAATAATGTCAGCGACAGATGATTGTTTGTTGATTTCCATTTTGCCCACAATAGAAGAGTTTAAACGCTTAAATGCACTTCAACAAAGCACAAGAAGTTTAGAAACACGCCACGCGACTACATACATCGGCAACAGGCAGTCAGGCACGTGCCGCTTTGCGTAATGGGATGTCATGTGACCAAATCGACCAATCGCCGCAAGTTCGCAACTAATTGGACAAAGAAATGCACTTAATGACACTTAATATTGATCTGATTTTACTTATTCATTGCTCTAACAAACGGTAACGGAGTTGTCACTTGACTAGTGACGCAAGAATATTCGTAAAAATCAATTAATTATGCCACGATTGTGTTGTCAGGTATGTGCAACGTTTTTTTCAACGTCTGTCGCTGGAATGTTGCATCATTTGGTCGCTGTTCATGAACACGATGCCAGATTGCTTATTATCTGCGAAGTGTCGGAATGTAATTCAACCTTCGCTAAGGTAAGCTTTTCATTCTTGATACGACACTGATTTGTTTGTTATTTGTTAAAAATATTTACTTATTCAGTGCGTTCACGGATTTGTTGTTTAGGTTAACTCTTACAAAAGTCATCTTAGAAGAAAGCACGCCAATGTTGACTTAAACTCAAGTCATCTATGTTGCGTTGAATCAGCGAGTAGCACTCACAACAATTTTGTCCTGATGAGGATGGCCTTGAACTCTTAATTGATGAATTCAACAGGAAAATGAACTTGATGACTCTGTTCAAGCAATGGAACACAAAAGGCTCAATTTCTTCTAAAACAAAAGAAATCAATCTGCTCACAAAAATGTGTGGATAACATTGTAGAAGATTCCACTGAACTTGTCCAAGGAACAGTCAAAGCAATTAAACACGGTTTGCAAAATTGCTTAGAGAAAGCTGGATTAAATTATAATGATGTGCCAGGTCTTGATGAATTATTTGATGAAGGACATGCTATCTCAAATCCATTCAAACATATTTCCACAAAGTATAAACAGAATGCTTATTTTGAGGAGCATTTTGGCTTAGTTGTAAGTTTTATTTCTATGTTTTTGACTTTTTAGAATGTTTAGAGTTTTGGATAAAGTTTTTGAGATTTTTAACATATTTGAGCCAGCTGCTCTTTAGTGCTTGTTATGCATAATCATTATTTTAATTGTAGCAACCCAGACGAATTAAACTTGGACACAGAGTTGTGAAAAGACGTTCAAGGACTGTGTACAAAGAGGTTATTAAAGATGACAAAATCATGTACATACCACTGCTTAAATCCTTGGAAAAAATGCTCAATGTAAAAGGAGTACTTGAACAGGTCAGATTGTTAATAGCATGGTTGTGTTTTTTTTTATGTTGGCAAGTTTATCAAACTATGACAACTACATCTTTGCAAGTACCCATATCAATAACAGGGTTGCAAAATATTAATACATGTTCTATGTATAACTATAAAAGGAACTTTATGTGTGTTTTACTGTGTTAGTTTCCATGAAAGAAAAAACAATGATGACTTGCGTTTATTAGAGCACATTTCGAAAAATATACTCCAATTATTTCATGAAAATATGAAAATAGCCAGATTTTAACTTGAAATGTCTGATGGTAGGAAGGCACCCATCCTACCACCAGACATTTCCATTACTGGTTAATAATAAATTTAATATTTTCATTCTTTGATTTCAATTTCAGCTAAACCATGGTATCTTCGGCAACATAAACATGATGATGTGATTGAGGATGTTTGGATGGCCAGTATTTCAAAACCCATCCTCTGTTTTCCAAGGACTCAACTGCTTTACAAATCATGCTTTACTATGATGAGTTCGAAATTGCAAATGCCCTTGATAGTAAAACTGGAAAGCATAAGTTAGGTAATGGTTTAATGACATCATAGTGACTAAATCAGTCACTCAAATGTAAAAAAGTGTATGAGCAATGAAAGGCTATAAGAAGCTCTTATTACATCATATGCCATTATTTCTGTATGACAGGAGTTGTTTACTACACAACTGGAAATATTGATCCTCGATATCGATCCCAGTGTGATAACATTCACCTACTCCTTATGGCAACAGTTCCAATTATCAAAAAATATGGCATTGGCATTCTCTTGGAGCCTTTCATGAATGACCCTTGAATACCACTGAATAAATAAAGCAGAAGGTATGTATGTTTATGATAATACATTATTAACCTGTTTCAACATAGATCAAATGTTTTATTATGGTTTTTAGCAGACCAGGAACATACACTTTAAAGTAAGTCTTTCAGTTTTGGAAAACATTTTACACTTCAACTTGTGCTGGTCATGACCGCCAATGTGAACTGATTGAAGAAAACCCAGAACTGAGTAAAGCATATGGGCTTTGCAGGAGATCAATTCTTCGCAACTCTAGGTATTTTCATGTAGCAGATGGCATGCCAGGTGATGCAATGCATGATATACTAGAAGGAGTACTTCAGTATGTATGTAAAGAATTGCTGAAGGACTTCATATTTAAAGAAAAATTTTTAACAGTGGAGCAACTTAATGAAAGAATTAACTCTTTTGATTATGGATATTTTAATGATAAAAACAAGCCATCACCAATCACCCGGACAACTTTGAAGAGTGAAAACAATAGTTTAAAGCAAAAAGGTAGGGTGTAGTGATTGTCACAAGCATTAATACCATCACCCTTGATTTAAGTGATTGGTTTTTCCTTTTATAGCAAGACAAATGTGGTGCCTTGGAAAATTCCTTCCTTTAGCTCTTGGCAGTGCCATTCCTCAGGATGAAGAAAAGTGGATGCATTTTCTGTTGCTCCTTAAAATTGTTGACATTGTTTTTTCACCAATCACAAACACCGATGAACTTTCTATCCTGGAAGGATACCTGAAGGAATTTTTGTGGAAATTCACCCAGCTTTATCCTGGGCTTTCAGTTCTACCCAAGATGCATTACTTGGTTCATTACCCAACTCATATTTACAGGTATGATTTTGCTGGTTTGTATCTTAGTTCATAAATAAAAATATGGTATGTAACTCAAAATGCATGTAAAAATTACATCATTGGTTTCCCTCCAGCTAACATAAGTCCTTGATTTTTTTAGATTTGGAGCAATGATTTGGAGCTGGTGCATGTGATATGAAGCAAAGCACAGTTACTTTAAAAGATTGGCTTCATACCTTGGAAACTTCACTAATGTTGCACTTAGCCTTGCTGAACGACATCAAACCAGAAGTTGCTATCTAAGAAATCAACCCATTGCAAAAAAGCCTAAAATTGGTAGGATTTTTTTGAATAGATTGATTTTAATTCTAAAAACAAAGAGGTCAATTTTTAGTAAGATAATAAATTGATGTTTGTTTGTTTCTCTTTAGATTCTGCAAAAGAAATTGTTGCTAAGGATAGTGAACATTATTATTTGCTCAAAGAGAAGGAACCTAACTTAAGTGACATTAGTATTTTGTCAAGGTAAAGTACACATAGTGATTATTTTTATTACAGAAGATGGTGACTATTGCGAGAAAACATAGCTAGTACTTTATAAAATGAAACCATGGCTGTAATCTGACTCTTAGACAATTTTAGATCCAACCCAGATCCTGTGGGTTTTGCACCCATTATGCGCTTAATTTGCGTCTTAGTAAGCATAAGCAAGTCAAGGCCGTCAAGTGCTTTTTTGGTAAGTCGTATAGTCACTCCGGTTCCGTCTCTGACTGCCTTTGCCAGGTTATTTTTCTGAGCCGTTGAAAGTGTAACGCCGTGAACTGTGTAGTTATTACGTCCACCACCTTTAGCAGCTGCACCACCTTTCCTAACTACACCACTACCAGCAACTGCTTTTTGCGTGCTGCCGGTGATAGCACCTGATATAGCTGCTAGGCCTAGAGACAGTAGCTCTTTTGGTGATGAGTTTAGTGACCGTGGGTAAGAGTTTTCCAATAAGATTTCTAATGAAGCTACCGCCTTCTATACCTCTTGACCCAGGAAGATAAATACCAGCGCCTTTAAATTCCTGAGTGATTACTCGTTCCATGGCGGGTCTGAGAGCTTCAACAAATATTGCGTTATTAACGCCCGACTTTTTTGTGCACATGCAAAACAATTTGCGTATATAAACAGTCGAAAAAATTTTTGTGTTTTTAATCTTAGAAATTATTTTTAAATAATAACATATCACATCAAACAAACAGTCTAAACGATTATGTCCATTTTACCGTTTATCCCATTAAGTCGAATAAATCGTTCGCTAAGCACCAAGCAGAACATGTTATACGCATTGCTGCCACCAGCATTAATCGCGCTACGAAAAGCTTGGTTCAAGGTCCAACGAATTCTAATGTTTGCCTCTTTTTTTCTCAAAACATCGGCATAATGACTTACATCGAAATGGTAAATAGGAAATAGGCTTGCAAAGTCTCCTAAGCTTACTTGAGAGCCTGTATCTGGATCGCTGTACTTCATTTCAGCGTCTTGAAACATCATGTAGGCTCTGCTGTAATTGCTGTTAGGAGCTGTTTAATTAACATCAAGCTCTTTTTCAGGATACTTTTGAGTGTTATTGATCTCAACATAAATTCGACTTAAATTAGCATGTTCAAAGACATGTATAGTTTGTTCTTGATTGTTAAAGCGTCCAGCGTCTTGGAAAGGCACAAAGATGTGAGTTGGTAGCTCTTCACTACTGTTTGTTGTTACAAACCACGATCCAATGGTCTGATTAGGGCCAAATTTTTTTTGGTTATACGACTTTGCTCGAAATACAGCACGCGTGTGTATCCAGCGACCAACTTGCTTTCTATCATAGTCTGCACTTCGATTGAAGGCCTGATGAAAGGAACCCAAAGCGAAAGATGAATATTCGAAAGGCATATTTTAAGATCAACACAAACTTTCAATGCGTTATTTAAATCTCTACCTTCCTACATACACGAAGAATATTTGCCGAAAGCGAAATATATCTTTCACTTTTTCGATAACATGTTCAGTTAAATGTGATTTTTGATATTCGTGTTAGGAGAGAACTCTCTTTTTGATTGAAGTGTGAAATGTAAACGACATTAATATCTTTATGCAAAATGTGTGACCTAAATATACGTCTTCTTATAAAGTTTTCGTTTTTGTTAATGTTAATTCTTTGCTTTATTTTAGGCGTAGACATTTTTCTGTTAATGCGATCGAGAAACATAGAACAAATGTTTGTGGTTTTAATTCACCATGATGGAGGACTTATATAAATAAAGAAATTGATTATTGACCACGATGAAAACGTATTTGGCTTTTGTTCACCATTGCCTTGAGGCTGAGCTACTTACGAATTGATATTCTACTTCGTCTGAACTGCTTTATAACTGAAGAATTATTAAGATGGTAAGTATCTTTTTCCTCCTTCATCGTTTTTGACAGTAATTTTACAAGACGTATATATATTGTGAGTCCACCAGGCCGTTTACATGGCAAGCTATGAATGGGAAATCAAAAGATTTTTTTCTTTAGCGATGTTTCAATTTCCAGTGTCTCCAAGTCAAATGCAGTTTATTGGCCTTTGGCTGTTTTAAAACGTTTTCCTGAGCATTTTTCTTTCTTAGATCACGATTCTTGTCTCGACAATTGATCGAAAGACAAGTCTGTTTTAACCAACGATTTATGATGGTAAGATTTTTACAGCAACAAAATAAACTCATGACAAAGTTATGTTTTTCTCAGGTGTTTAAATTAGCTATTGTAACTTTACAAAATTTCATTTTCTTTACAGATGAATAAAATTACGCCATTATCAAACACCAAATTTCGACATTTTTTAATGTGAAAATCTTGTGGGATAAAAACATAGAATTTATCTCTATCAAAAAAGAAATTATAAAAATCCTAATTTTCTTACTGCAGTCAATATTTTCAATTTCATGCCGTGTGCGACATGCACAGTTGTAAGAAATGGCCAATCTTGCTTCTGTACTTGCCGTCGTCGACATGAAACTGAGGATGTTTGTCAGAAAGCCTGGAAATTAGCTAGATACGATGGTTAATATCGTCCATTCTTTTTCTTCCAAAACAAGTTTAACTGTTTTCAGTTTGTTGGTCCAAATGTCTAAAATCAAATGAAAAAAATAGAAATGTATATTTTTGTGAAACTACAATCCTTGCACATTATAATGTGTTTGTCTGACTTTAGTCTTTACGTCTACTTTTGTGTCTACCTTTTTGTTTCTATTAGTCTTCGTCTTTTTGTCAATCTTTCGTGTATCTTTTTGTATATCTTTTCGCCTTTATTTGTGTTAACTTTTTGTCTATGTTTTTGTCCACTTTTGGGTCTACCTCAGTGTCTATACCTTTGCGTCTCTCTTTTGTTATATATACGCTTTATAATATGAAGAGTTATATCACAGGAAGAAGAAAGTCTCACAGGAAACACACAGGTTTCTATTCTGGGCCCTTTGTTATTCCTAATATATTTCAACGACTTGGCTAATGTGATACAATCCTTTAGTTAGGTGATGAGAACTTACAATATAAAGGAAGTTTATAAATACCTTGACACAGAAATAGACAGTCTTAATCTGATATCCATTTTAATAAATGCTGCGTAGTTTATGTTCAAAATAATGCGCGAAAATGATAAAAAACGAATCCTTGAGGATCAATTTTTGCTAAATCATAGAAATTGTAAATGTCAGATAATTTCAAATATTGTCAAGGTTAAAAAATTAGACATCATCATAAAATATGTGATAGTCAGTCAACAAACCAGCAAAATCAAAGTGAAGCACCTTTCATGTTGATGGAATTATGTTCAAAGGTGAAAGACTGCGACTTTGACCAAAATTTTTCAACGCGCTTGCATTTCACTCATTTTCCTTCCAAATCGCAACAAACAACATAGCACTCCATAGCTAGAACCTAGAACTCTTTTTTTAAATATTTAAAACTGCAGTTATTTATTCACTAATTTACACACATCAGCAAATAAAAGTTGAATTAACTTTTTTTGAAACACCCTGTATCAAGAACTTAGATCCCCAGACCGTGGGGGTTCCCCTTTGGATAAATCAACTTAAACTTATATTTTATTAAATACGTGTATAATTTACGGAAAATAAGAATCAAAGGAAGATATCAGAATTCAGCCCTTTAATAACACCATGACAACTTGTAGCGTATAGCAAGTCGACCAGTGCTATGAAAATAAATATTTTATTGTTCAATTACTTTTTCGTTACTCACTACACTACATATGAGATGACAACAGTAAATATGGGCCAGACACACATAATTAGAGTAAAATCTCCATTTTTCTTGTCTACATCACTACCTAAAACATACATAAAGATAAATTACATTGTCAGGTGGTCACCAATGCCAGATCTATCAAAACGCTTGTCAGCAAAGGATTTTTATTGTGTTTAGTCTTTACAGAAAGGAATGGATTTGTGGCTCCATTTCAAGGAACAAGATGCTTTGTTAGCTCTGGCTTTTGGGTATGTTTTCTTTCTCCTTTAGCTGACCAGGAACAGTTGTATTTTCAATTTCTGTAGGCAAAGGTTTAAATGGAGTGTTTGTTTGGTTCTTTTTGTTGTTTAATAAGAAAAATCTTAACATGTACATTATTTACATGTAAAATTTATAGTGCTTAGTAAGTTTTCTAAAAAACCCAAACACTGGCTTTGCTGTGTAAATATACAGATTTCTGTTCACTGTGATAAATGGCAAAATCTAATTTGTATTTAAAAGAATTGTGTGTGGAGGGAAGGTCAATAGTTTGGTTACTTGATTCAACATTTCTTTCTATTTACGGTTGGGGATTTACACCTTAATTGTTGTGACAATGTTCTTTTTTCGCTTACATTTAAATGTAGTAAATCTGTATTTTGATTTATATTTGATTTTCTTGGGATCGGAGATAACCACAACATTTTGTATTGTGATTTTGTGGTAAAATCATTTATGTAGCTGGGAAAATCAGTTTCAAAGCAATGTAAAGTATAAACTATAGCAAAAGCAAGACATGAATGTCATAGCAATGAAAATGACTCATTACTGTCCATATCAGTAGTAAAGACACCAGTAGAAATGACTCATTTACTGTCCTTATCAGTTGTAAAGACATTAGCTAAAAATGTCTGGTCATGTCATTCACTCCTGAACATGGATACATACTTTAAAGGGGGGTGTTGCCCTAGAAATATATTCCTAATATAAACTTTTCATAGTTTGCACACAATTTCTCTAATGTTCAAGTAATGTTTTGAAAAAAAAAAAATAAGAAGTTCCTTGCAAAATGAAATACTAACTGTTACACACAATGCTAGAGCTCTTCAAGACGCCCTGGGAATAAATGGCAAAGCAGACTCTTCATTTTGGGTAGGAAGCACATATTCATATACTCATGTTCTGCCACATTAAGTTCCATTGAATTCCATTGTTTTCAACAGATTAAGACGTGCATTTATGAATTTGTGCCCAATTAACAAGTATCCTGTGCCACTGCTGGGATTTTTATATATTAGTAAATCTGGTAGTTGGACAGTTAAATGTGTCATTTTCACTTCTGTCAATGCTATGGCAATGATATCCTGCTTTTTCTTCTTCAGGTTATTTATAACTTTTACTTTACATTGCCTTTATAGTTTGAACTATAAAAAGTATTATTGAATCAATCATTAAATAAATATTTCCTCCAAAGTAAAAAAAACAAACATTGTCACAACAATTAAGGTGTTAGTCCCCAAATCAAGTATGATTGAATCAAATAACAATAACTGCATGTCCATTTCAAACAACTACAATTCTCATAAATAGAAAGTATATTTTGTAAATTATATGAATGAATAGAAATAAATATAGAAAAGACTGTATTCATACTTATATAGCAAAGCAAATCTTGTGGGCTTTTCAGCATTTCAAAAAGGGATGTTACATGATCATGGTTGCTGTAAGATCAGTATTTACTCTCATTATACAAGAAAATGACCCAACAACATTCATTTTAAGGAACTTCACAACTTCTGAATAGCTAGATATTGCAAACTAAACTCATAAATATACTTTGATAGTTCCATACAAGTTTCTTAATAAAACTGTTCCAGTAAATAAATGACAGTTGAAAACTTGAAAATACAAATGTTTGAATATTGTCAATATATATATTTTATAAATATACAACTGTTGTTATTTGAACCTTTGTTAAAAGAAATCTACAATACAACTGTTTCTAGTCAGCTTTAGTATAAAGAAGACATACCTAAAATGAAAAAAGAAATTGATTTTCTTCTTCATTGAAAATGAGCTACAAATTCATTTCCTCTTCTTCTATCTCCTTGTACGTTTTCAAAGACAGGAGTATTTTAGCTTCTAGCAAATAAAAGATAAATAGAAGTCCAAATGCTTCAGTTTCAATATGTATAGTTTGTTTATAACCAAATGAAGATTGTTGTATATTATTGCAGTACATGTTCAGGTCCAAATACTTTCGTTTGAATTTCTATCGCTCGTTCATAAAAATCTTTTGCTTTTTCGTACTCTCCCATATTATTGTAAACCAAACCCAGATTGTTGTACGTTGTCGCAATATTAACATGGTCAGGTCCAAATGTTTTTGTTTCAATTTCTATCGCTCGTTCATAAAAATCTTTTGCTTTTTCGTACTCTCCCATTTTACTGTAAACCGAACCCAGACTGTTGTACATTGTCGCAATATTAACATAGTCAGGTCCGAATGTTTTCGCTTTAATTTCTATTGCTCGTTCATAAAAATCTTTTGCTTTTTCGTACTCTCCCATATTAATGTAAACCGAACCAAGATTGTTGTACGTTGTCGCAATATTAACATGGTCAGGTCCAAATGTTTTCGTTTCAATTTCTATCGCTCGTTCAAAAAAATCTTTTGCTTTTTCGTACTCTCCCATATTATGTAAACCAACCCAGATTGTTGTACGTTGTCGCAATATTAACATGGTCAGGTCCAAATGTTTTGTTTCAATTTCTATCGCTCGTTCATAAAATCTTTTGCTTTTTCGTACTCTCCCATATTATGTAAACCGAACCCAGATTGTTGTACGTTGTCGCAATATTAACATGGTCAGGTCCAAATGTTTTTTTGAATTTCTATCGCTCGTTCATAAAATCTTTTGCTTTTCGTACTATATGTAAGGTCCAAATGTTTCGTTTGAATTTCTATCGCTCGTTCATAAAATCTTTTGCTTTTCGTACTCTCCCATATTATGTAAACCAAACCCAGATTGTTGTACGTTGTCGCAATATTAACATGGTCAGGTCCAAATGTTTTCGTTTGAATTTCTATCGCTCGTTCATAAAAATCTTTTGCTTTTTGTACTCTCCCATATTACTGTAAACAAACCCAGATTGTTGTACGTTGTCGCAATATTAACATGGTCAGGTCCAAATGTTTTGTTTCAATTTCTATCGCTCGTTCATAAAAATCTTTTGCTTTTTCGTACTCTCCCATTTCTGTAAACCAAACCCAGATTGTTGTACGTTGTCGCAATATTAACATGGTCAGGTCCAAATGCTTTCGTTTCAATTTCTATCGCTCGTTCATAAAAATCTTTTGCTTTTCGTACTCTCCCATATTACTGTAAACCAAACCCAGATTGTTGTACGTTGTCGCAATATTAACATGGTCAGGTCCAAATGTTTTGTTTGAATTTCCATTGCTCGCTCAGAAAATCTTTAGCATTTTCATATTCTCCATTCTTCCAAGCAATAAACCCAGCTCGTTGTACGAATATGAAACATCAATATGATCAACACCTAACACTTTAGTTTGAATTTCTGTTATTTCATAAAGTACTTTAGTTGCAAGTTTATAGTTGCAAAATCTTTCCAAAACATCTACAAAATATTTGGCAAATTCCAATTTCTTTCATCAAGTTTTGTTTTGATGATTTTACATCGATCAACTTATTTAGGAAATGTTGAAATGATGAATTTGTTATGAATTTAATTAGATGTGGAATTATTTTGATTTCATCTTCTCTGTCTTCAAAATGATTTAGTGCCAAGCAACTTGACAGGCAAGATCAGCTGCAGACTTTTAGAATTATTTTCGTTTTGTTTACAGCCAAAGGTCTGCGATGAATAATTTATGATGGCTTCGTGTACAACGCTGTGCAGGCGGATGTCGTTGTTTTCCGTTTGAAGGAATAAAGAACAATGCTTTAATTGAAGACAGACATCTTCTGCAGATTTTTGTGGATCAATGCTTTTAATAAATTGTATTATAACATCTTGTGGTAAGGGATCGAAAGATATTATTGAGAAAAGTTTAAAAACATGTTCCAACAAGATGGATTCTTCAGCATTTTTTTGTACTGCTAACATAACAGTTTTCATTCCTAAGTAAGTTGAGTTTATTTTTTGAAAATTGCCATCCATGTTCTGTCGCTCTCCTTCATTCAACTTATCAAAATATTGCTCCCACGTGAATGTCGGATTTACACTTTTTACTCTACCTACGTAGGAAGCAGCATTTGCCAGGAGCAACGGTTGACGATTTAATTTGTCGGATAAATCCTTTAAAAATTTTTCATCTTTATTATGATTATCAGAAAAGACAGATAGAAGTTGTCGACATTCTTCATTGTTCATACCATGGCTAACTGAAATGTGTTTATTTAGATTTCCATCTTGTGGAATGGCATCTGTATTTTGGACAGTTACTATAATTTGACAATTTTTCCAACTATGATCACCAACTTGAGGTAATAATGGATAAATTTTATGAAGTTCAACCACGTTATCTACAACAATCCACCATGTTTGCCAAGATTTCAGTTGTTGCGTCAGCAATAAGTGGAAATCTTTGATTTTGTCTTCGCTGCTTTTTGCTTCTTTGAAAATATTTTCAATGACAGTTTTATCATTGCTTAATCGTTTACAAAGTTCAGCGTAAGTTTTCAAAAGAGAGTCGATATCTTTTCCTTCGAGTGTCATCACAAATGTTGTTTTATTTTCCCAGTCAAACGAGTTATACATTTCTTCACAAACTTGTCTAGCTAATTCAGATTTACCACTGCCAGGATTACCAGAAATATAGTAATATGTTAGTTCATTATTGTTAGTACTGCGCAAGTTCTTGAGATCTGCTGTGATTTGATTAAGTAACTCGGTACGTTTAACCACATCGTGATTTGGTTTGCAAGGAAGTACTTGAAAAGAATTAAATGTGTTTCGTTGACATTTAATTTTATTAATTTCAGTGAATGAAAATGCTAGATCTTTAAATGAGTTTTCAATATCACAAAGCATTGTTTGAAATTCGTCATCAGCAACGCTTCCTTTATTTTCATGGATAAATTTGTTTCTGATAACACGAAGTTTATCCACAGCAGCCTTAGATTTGGGGTCAAGTTTTGTTCCAACTGAGTTTGAAAACAATATCGCTGCGAACAGTGTTGTACAATCCCACTTACTGGTGTCACCATCCTGAAATTTTGACATAATGTGTTTTTCATGATGTTTCTTTTTTGTGTTTTCAATATTGAACAACTTCTGACCACTAACGTTTGTATTTTTCCATACTCCGTAATTAATGTTCCACTCTTGGATAAATAACTCAGCAAGTTTCTTCCTAACAACATCTGTAAGTA